GCAGCGTGAAAACGAAGAAGACGATGGGAATGTGGACGACGACGGCGACACCGTGTATAAGGAGAAGGTTCACGAACGATTGTCGATGATCGAAAACGGCATTAAACTGTCTGGACCTGTTACCGATCTTTAGAGTAGGTTTCATCGAGAGTTGTGGAAACGTTGAACAGGAGAGAGAACAACTTGTTTGAAACATAGAAACGAAGGTTTGATGTGGTTTGAGAGTATTTGGAATGGTTTTAAAGGGAATATTTGATGGAATGAGGAACTTGGAGTAGGTACATGGAATTTGAATAATTTGAAAGTAGGGTTTGGAAAGGTTAGAGGTTGGTAAAATGTTTGGTATTGTTTGATGATGTTTGAAATAAGTATTTAGAGCGTTCGAAGTATTGACAGTGTTGCAGTGGAATTTTTGATGATTTAATTTTAATTTGGCAAAGTTGGAACTGGAAGAATTGTTGAAGAGCGTTTGGTTTTGTTTGACGATGATTGATATACGTGTTTGGAAGGTTTGAAGTGTTCAAAGTGTTGGAGTTTAAATAATGATAGGGCATTTGGACTTGTGATCTTTATAATAGGTATTTGGAGTGTTTAATGTGGCTTAAAGGTGGGGTTTGGAGCAGTTGGAGATGAAAGGAAACTGCGTTAGACTATTCTGATGTATGTCTGTGGCGTTCAAAGTATACTGAAGTTTTAATTATTTGAAAGAGAGATTTAGAATTGATTGGAGATTTTCCTGGACGTGTAATTAGAATTTAAGTTGAACGTCTGTAGGTTTGACGAAGTTTGAAGACATTCATAAGATAAATGAAAGTGATGCAGAAATTGTTGTAAAACTTTAAAAAATGCTTTGGGTTGATCGAAATTTTCCACATTTAAGAAGAAAGAGCTAATAATCATTCTGAAATGATTGGAAACAATATCGAGCTCTCTAAACTTAGGCCAAATATCCTGGAAATATTCTGAATCGATTGACAGTCGTGTGAAGACAGGTTTGAAGTTGTTTGATGATAAAAAAAAAATGATATTTCTCTTTTTGAAAAGGTTTTTCCATTGATAATAATCGATTCCGAAGAATCTTGCGATTTTACAAGAAATTTATCGGACGATTTTTGTGATTGTTTCTCTGGGTAGTGAAGGATGGTCGACTTTTGGATATTTTGTTAGCTATTACGTAGAATGTGACGAGGAATATTGAAATTTCTATGGTATGATAAACAACTGTAGAAATTTAAGTATTCTTCGAATAGGGTTGAATATTGGTACTTAAGGATTACAGAGTTTCTGTTAGAAGTTAGATAACGTTGTAAATACAATTAGCGTTAAAAATTCACGTTGAAGGACCCCTGTTACCTTTAACCCTCGACTGATTACGATCTTATTATTTAAACAAATATTTTCTACATTTGTTATGTCCTGTCTGTGCTTCGAAAATAATCAAAGAACAATCAATTACGTGATTATTCGAGGGTTGGTAGCATGTGGTGAACATCGATTCGCCACCTTACCTGTGATCGTTCATTCGTCCCAATATTTTGAAAATACGGTTCCTTGAAGTTCTTATTATGCTCTCGTACGTGCCTGTCCAGTTTGCTAGGTTTGCGGAATGAATTTTTCCCGAAAAGTGCTCACTTTCATTTCTCGCGGTTGATCTCTCCCGCTCTTGTAAATTATTTTATCACACGTCGATAATTTCTCGAGTGGTCATTTTTCGAAATTCTTCGTAATTTCGATATTTAAAATTCTAAAACTTTCAAAATTTTTGTAAATTCGATTTTACTCCAAGTTACAATTTTGTATTTCTAATTGTCCATTTAAATTTCGACATTTAAAATTCTCATCTTTATAAATAATTTCCTCGAATACAATTTTTACTCGATTTCTTGTAATATCGAAATTCTCCAATATCGAGAATAATTTACAAAAGTAAACTCCGTCAGATGTAACGATCTAATAAATTTTCGAACCGCGAGGGATGAAACTATCGCACGAGTGCTATAGTTACGCTCGAATTATGTTTTTCGTCGATTGGCGTTCGCGATATGGAGGAAGCTGATCGATAAGTTCGCGTGTCCTACTCGTTGATCGAAGATTAGCGAGGCTAGTGTCTGGCCTGAGAACAGAATTGACGTAATTGGGTTAACGCGTTGATCTCTCTTTCGTTTCCCTCGAATCAACAACAGTGCACAGGGTATTCGTTGTTTTAATTTTCCCTCGCACGTCTTTCTCGATGATTCAAGATGGCGGCTGGGTGTATAATTCTTTAGTGAAAAAAGAAGATTAACACGTACAGGGTGAGTCACATAACTTGTGGGAACCTTCCAACACCGGGAATAACTTTTAAAGTATGTGTTCTACAAAAAAAGTGTTTTATATAGAAATTGCACGATATCGAAGGGAAGAGGAAATTTTTTGAATTTTCTAAACGAAATGCGCAGCATTTGGATCGAATGAAATATAGAAAGCATAAAACAATTTATATAAAATTATAAATTATACGATTATTGGAGAGAAAAATTACAATTAAACTGTAGAATAGTAAAACTGTGGACAGAGTCTGTTCTTAATTAACAGATTGCACAGCTGTACGTAACTAAGGTATGCAGTGACACCATGAACAAAGCTTTTGCAAATATCTCACTAACTATTAGGTTTAAGACAAATAAAGCTTAATACTTTCTTATAGAAAATTTACTGCTCTTTTAAATTTTCATGCAAAAATAAATATTTCGTAAAC